AGTGAGAAGTCGGTGACCGCCTCTCATTTTACTTATCTCATTATCCCCCCTTGAAGTCTAAGTCGCCGATTATGGCTGCACGCCGCCTACTTTCTCTATTGGCTTCTCCCATCTCCCATCTATTATAAGAAGAGGGGGGAATCTTCAACAGCGCGAAGCACAAGTTCAGGCTCGCAAATGATACTCCACGCAACACTCATTTCGAGTTGCGAGTTCTCGTCCTCACTTCTCGCCTTCTACTGGCACGCCTGCATTGGAATCCGAATGAGGAGCGGTCTCGAATCTGCACAGATACGTCCCAGGCTCTGTACTGGGAGTCGTGCACAATACTACCACTTACTACCACCGCGTTTAATGCGTGAACCTGACAGGTCAATGTGTGATGTTAATGTCCACGGCCTCGGACATGATGTGGCCGCCGGCGTAAAAAAATGGGTGCCAAGATGGGAGATGGGGGTGGTGAGTTCTGCTGAAGGGTCGCCGTCCGAAGCTTAGACTTCTTCAAGGATCGATGAAGAGTGGAGAGTTTGTCCATCGTGACGACCCTTAGTATGTGGTAAGTGCTTGGAATTTGAAGTTCTTACTTCCTCCACTACAATCCAGACTTGGATCCATCGGCGTGATTGATGTCTTCTGCGGCTTTCTCCTGATTCCTGCTGGCACCGTGGGCTGTTCTGTTGACGCGTGGCTTGCTTGCTTCTTAACTTGAACGAAAGTATAAAATATGGAACATCAAGGCGGCCCTGCGCCGAGAATGTGCATGTGTGTACCATAAGAAGTAAAGATGCGTTGTCAATGAACAATCGAAACGAAGCAGGCAGAATAGGAGTAGGGGATAGGGGTATGCGTTAGGGGCTACTAGGGTTAAAGTTAAAGTGCAAGGCTGCCCAACTCAACACGCGGTGACTAGTTGCACACTTTGTCAATACACAAGCTCATCCCTCGTAAAGATTCGTCCCAACGTACGCTATCGAAGAAGGCAGTTTTCCCAGACGGACAAGAGTTTATGTACAGCCCTGATTTCCTTGGTGAAGGAGTTCTTAGGACGAAGCTGTGGGCGAGCGTGTTGCATTCCATCAGCTTCATCTCCAAGATCTTTGCCTGCAGTGGTTTTGGCGGTTGAGTTAGTACGATGCAGCTACCTCTTCTAATGTGAAACAAGCTGTTTTTCTCGATGACCGCAGCTCTGCGCGGGACGCAGTGTCAAGTTCATCAATCTGTGTACTTCAATTTATGACTGGGTTATCTAGGGGATTTAGTAGGTATTTTGCTAACTTAAATTTCCCATTCACCTTTAGAGAAATGCACGACACGTTGCGTACAGTATCTGGGTAATAGTCGAGGTCTGAGATCTGGTGAAAGTCACGAGTCCGTGACAAGCTCAGCCAACGGCGAACGCGTTTCCCTTTCGACCACCATCATGGCGGACTCAACACGCGGTAGCTAGTCTCGGACTCAAATGCTCAAATTTGTGCGAGTTCACAAGGCCGGCTGGCCTCATGAAGATTGAACGCGTCTTCTATCTTTCATCTTGTATTTCGGCCGTGCCCACTATCCGACCAATTGCAATCGCTTCTAGTCCGCGTCGCGTCTATATGCGCTCAAATATTACCCAGCTCGTCATGAAGAACTCCGAATCGTCATGGAGAGGCACACAGGTGACGGTGTACACGATTTACCGGCGGCGGCGGCAGCAGCGGCAGGTACAAAGGCACAAACATTGCGATGCGGCTCGCCTCATCGTACAGTGTACACGGTAAGTCATGATTAATTTACGTTTAAACGGCTATCGACTCAAATTCCAAATTCCAGTAAGCGAGAACTGGACTCCCAGAGCGGGAACGGGGAATACCGTCATGTTACTATCTGCAATAACCTCCGTGGTAGACCCCAGAAAGTACAGAGGCAGGCCGGGGCTTCTCGGCTTCTAGATTTCTACCTGGACTTCGATCTCTATGGATGAAGACCACGTTGGCTCGGGAGCAGCCTCACGTTTCCGTTTCCGGTCAAACGTTCACGGTCATGTTCGCGGCCGTGTTCTTGGAAACTCAGAATACTATAGGGTATAGATAAGCCTCACGCCTAAAGTACTCACGAATCACGAATCGCGACACAGATCATGTCCTTATACGCTCGCATCCTGTGGACTGGATACGGGATACTGATCTCTTCCACGGTGAGTATATTTAGGATCCTCGTGGGGAATTGGGATGGGAACGAGGACTCGCTAAATACTTACTAGTCCTCCAGGAATCAGGAATCAGAATAACATAAGGCGGAAGAACGCGAATGGCGAGGACAGGTGATACATGCAGTGTGCACGCATCTACTCTGCGAACGGCCTGGGTGCGCACCCCACTCGTCATCTATTTCTTATTTCCTGTTCTCTGGTCCCGCTTCTATTTTCTTTTCCCATTGTTTATTCTCTTTTCCTGCTTCCCGTTGCACATCGTCCGGAAACCGTTTCCATCATCTAGAGGCCTTTTCTGTTATCTGTGGCCGTTGTCTAGAACTCGCTGGCAATGCGCGGAGTGATCACGCGCCACGATGCACAACGCAATGCTCAACACTTAATCTTTACTCTTAAGAGACTTGATTCTAATCCTAATTGCTTCTGATATAGATCTTATTGAATGCTTATTATTATTGGCCGACGATCTATTGGCCATCGTTCGAATGACTGACGCTCAACGCGAATGTTCTAACAGTTTCCATGCTAGATAATCGTATCTATATGCGTCGACGATCAGCGCATGGCTCCGCGACGCGTGAAGAGCAAGTCCGTGAAGGGTGCCGTGTCAAACAGGATGCCAGCATCACGCACATGCATGCGACGATCATACACAGGATCAGACCAGTAATGTCCGTTGCCATTCGCAGGCTCGCTCACCCTCATCGTCATGCACGGGCTCTCACCCACCCTCCATACCCCATACACACCCCGCGTACACACACCCCAATACAGATACTAGATGGAGCACACCCAGACCCGCCCACGCCCACGCCGCCGCCCACTTCTAAAAGCGACAAACCCAAACCCAACCCTTCACCCTGTGCCCATGCCCAGAAAAACTCGCAATCGGAAACGAGAAACAGAAAGGCTAATAGGTTGTAGGTTGTATACTCTATCAGTATTCATTCACGGATACACGGGTTTAGACTGGGTTAGAGCAGAGTGCGAGGGTTTGATGTGTTTACTGTTTACTGTTTACGCGGGTTTATGGGGGTATGCCCGTCGCTGTCATCGGGATGAACTTAGAAGTAAGAGCCTGTTGGGATATGACGAGGACTAGATGGTGTCGGAGTTCGAGGGATGAAGGCGCGAGGACATCCATTGATGTTTTGCGAATATAGTCGGGAACGACGAGAAGCACCTGCCCTTCGCACTCACGAGTGACGGCGCCACCTCACGTTGACGAGCAAAGTCTAGAATCTCGACCTTCCGACATGTGGTGGTCGACGCGTTGATGCGTGATCGTGAATCGTCGTTCGCCATCACGGTGATCAGCAGCGCTCGCCGTCACCGATCGCATCGACCCGTCCCAGCCACCAATCTCATCTGAATAACCAATAGCCAATTGCCGATCAGCTATAACTCGTTGCAACCCATGATACACGAAGCATGATCGAAAATCCGAAAACTCGAAAAATACGAGCCCCTGTTTCCCCCGCCCCCTTTACCCCACACTCCCCCTTTCCTTGCCTTTCCCCACATTTCCTCCCTTGTCTCCCCGCCCCCGCATCTATGATTCCCTCCCCCCGTGCGGCGTCGACGCACTGCGTACTAACGAGGCGATGTAAACATGTCATTGATTTTGCGCGCTGAGGCCTGAGGATCTGATAGGAATGCGGCCTCGAGTCCTCCATGCCACGAGCCATCAAGATGATCCGAACCCCCGCTACTCGGTATGGTCAGCTGGCCATTTAGAGGTACAATTTACACTGCATTACGAATATGGGCGACGTTTACGCAAATGGGTGATGGCGAATACAAATATGCAAATATACAGATATACAAATATAATATACCGTACGGCGTGCGTTCGAATAACGAAAATAGAATAAGAAGGAATACTTGGGTGCCGCTGCGTTTCGCGGATTAAGCGCTAAGCGATTGGGTACCGGTTGTGGGTTGTGCGTTCTGATTGGAAGTGTTGTTTGGAATTTTGGAATTTTGGAATGGTGGAATGGTGGGATTTACGGCACGCGTTCTGCGTCAGAAAGCGGGGAATGGGGAATGGGGAATGGGGAATGGGGAATAACGCATTGTCAACTAGGCGACGCGCCCCATGACCAAAGCACTACTAAATGGTACGTAGTCAGTAGACAAAGTTTTGTAGTAACGTGGTGATGTAGTGATGATTAGTACTGGGTACTGGGTGACTGAGTGCTTAGGACCACTGCGATCTGATGATTCGTTAGCTGGGCTTCGTTCGAGCGACCGTTGGAGTCCAAGTACAAGTTCGATTGAAACCCGAGTCCAAGCCATTGAACTCATCCAAGTTCATACGATAGTCTCGTCTCTAACCATGCTCTCTCAGATCTCCGTGTTCATTCAGCCCATAATTATAATCTCAACCGTCACAACCAATACTGATGTGATGAGTAAAAAATAGTCCATTCTGATTCTGCATTCTATTGATTCTTGAGTCTTGTAGTACAATGTAAGCGATGTGAAGAGAGATGAGAGAGATGAGAGACCCGCATGTAAGAGTAAAGAGTAAAGAGCAAAGAGGAAACGTGTAGTCGAGAAGGTAGTCCGCGCGAAGACCCGACGAGCAAACAAGCAACACTAGGAGGAGAGTACGTAGGAGATACGACATACGACCAAAATCCGGCAAAATCAGAATCCCAAACACGAAAACCAGGGGGGTGGGGTAGGGGGTGAGGCCTTGAGGAGTGGGAGTTCGTCGAAATGTGGTGGGGGCGTTGTAGAGGGTAGGGGGTTCGAGTTCGTCGAAATGAAGACTGAGGAAGATGACGAAGCACTAATCACCCAATCACTGAATGACGACCTTCATGACCATGCCCCCCGCAGCATCGACGCCCGCGCGCATCATCTCGAACGCCTTCTGCGTGTCCGCGAGCGGGAAGGTGTGCGTGATGAGGCGCGTGAGGTCCGGGAGCGTGCGGCGCGGCGCGGCGGGCCAGCGCGCGGCGCCTTCTGCTTCTCCCACAAGTTCTGCTTCTCCCACACGTTCTCCTTGTGCTTGTGCTTGTGCTTGTCCTTCCACGCCACTCGATTTTGATGTCGCTATCGATGCGGTCGTCGTCGTACTGCCCTCCGGGGATGCAGCACAGTCGGATGTAACAGACTCAGATAGCGTGGTGGTAGACGACGTCTTCCCCCTCCGCGGATGCGCCGCAAACACACCAAGCAGGCGCAGCACCTCCGCGTACGTGTGCGCATAGCGGAAGCTGCCGAGGATGTCGACCTCGCGCAGCGCGGCGGCGGAGAGCGGGAGCGTGATGTTGCGCGTGCCCATGCCGACGAGGAGGATCTTGCCCCCGGTCGTGGCGGCCTGTGTAAATGAGAGGGGAAAGGGGGGGAGGTTAGTGGGGTGTTGATTTTTGGAGGAGGATTGGGAGGGAAGGGAGGGGGAGGGGAAGGGGGAGGGAGAGGGGAGAAGGGAGAGGGAAGGGAGGGGAGGGGTGAGGGGAGGGGGGAGAAAGGAGAAAGGGAGGGATTGGGGAGGGAGAAGTAAAGGGAGAGGGAGTAAAGGGAATAGAGGGTGGTAAAGAGGGGGTGAGGAAACGCGCACGCACATAGACCGCCATCTGGATACACGCCTCCGCGCCCGTGCACTCGTACACGATGTCGAACCCGTCGGGCTGCTCGAAGTGCTTCAGCGCCGCCGCCGCGCGCTCCCGGCCGCGCTCCAGCGCGAGCGTGGATGCTGATACTGTTGGATGGAAACCGAATCCAAGGAAATTCAAGGCAAATATACCGAGGCGCAATGGAAGAGAAGCGCAACGAAAACGAAGGCAAGGCAAAAACAGAAAACAGTCAGCATTGATCCATTCCGTCAACGATCGTGCATACCTGGTGAGGTACTCGAATTACTCGAATTACTCGAATTACTTGAAGTTGCAGTGTTTGAATTACTCGCTCCATTCGCACTCGCACTCGCACTGGCAGGCACATCACGCGCAAGCACATAATAATCGTCCACAAAGCCCTCGGCCTTCGCGAACTCGAGGCGGCGGCGGTTGATGTCGACGCACACGACCTTGCGCGCGCCGTAGCACTGCGCGAGGGCGGCGGCGGCGAGGCCGATGGTGCCCGCGCCGAGGATGAGGATGTCCTGCTGCCGGACGTGCGCGCCGATGCCGGTTATGGGGTTGGGGGGGTTGGGGTTTGTGCTGTGGAGTGGGGAGGGGGTGGGTGAGGTGGAAGAAGGGGAGGAAGAAAGGACGGAGGGAGAGGGGGTGGTGGAAGGGGTGGAAGAAGGGGAGTTGGAGGTGGATGGAGAGGGGAGGGCGGCGAGGGAGCGCGGGTGGAGGAAGAGCTGTGCGCGGCGGGAGGCGTGCAGGACGACGGAGAGCGGCTCTGCGAGCGCGCCGAGGGCGGGGGAGACGGAGTCGGGGAGGCTAGAGGTGAATAAGGTGGGTTAGTACGTGCTCGTATATATGATCCGTCTAGCAATTGAGGGGGGGGTAGAAGTGATGTGAAATAGGAGAGGAGGAGAGGAGGAAACAAGGAATAGAGAATAGAGTGTAAAGTGTAAAGTGTAAAGTGCAAAGTGCAAAGGAGAGTAGGGGAGTAAGAGAGTAGGGGAGAGGTACTCACGGCCAGAGGAGGGCGGCGGGGTGGAGCATCTTTTCCTGGAGGGTGCCGTCGAGGTGGGGGAAGGTCTTGGCGGAGGAGGCGAAGCGCAGGTCCTTGCAGAGGTTGTAGCGCCCCGACGCGCAGTGCGTGCAGCTCTTCGCGCTCGCCGACGACGCAGCACCCGCGCCGCTCGAATTGCCCGCGGTGTCGATGCAGCACGGCACGCCCGGCTCGATCGCGACGCGCGTGCCGACCTGGAGCTGTCTGCCGTACGCATCGACCGCGCCCGCGCCGGCCGCCTCGACCTCGCCGACGGCCTCGTGGCCGAGGACGAGGGGTGCGCGGACGGCGAAGTCGCCGTTGCGGGCGTCGGCGAAGTAGTGGAGGTCGGAGCCGCAGAGGCCTGTGGCGAGGATGCGGATGCGGGCGGCGCCGCGGGCGGGGCGGAAGAGGGTGCGGTGCTCGAGGCGGATGTCGGCGGGGCCGTGGAGGACGGCGGCGAGGTGCGGGGTGAGTGTTGGGGACATTGTGTGTTTGGAGGAGGAGTGGTGTTGGAGGGAGAAGTTGTTTTACGTTGTTGGATAGCGGATTGTATAGGGGTAGCGGTGTGGTAGTTGGTGTGGTGTGGTGATAGTGGTAGCGGAGAGTCGGCTGGAGGAGAACCCGGGAGCTGGAGTTGGGAGTTGGAGTTGGGAGGGGAGGGGTGCGTCTATTTAAGCAGCGCACCGTTGATCAAAAACTCCAAATCCCAAATCATAAACGAATCAGGACGCATAGCACAGGCAGTCGAGCGTCCCAGTCCCAGCACGGCTTCGCTTCGCAGAGCAGGATGCGTGCCCGGTCCGAGCGCCGTGCATCTGCTGTGGCGTTTCCTCTGGATCTCGATGCTGGATCGAGATCGCGATGGCGATGGCGATGGCGAGCGGATTGGGCGTGCACGTGTTGGGATATATCGGGGCGCGGATCGGGGGCGCGCTGTTTTGGGACGGGTCTCTTTTGGGAAAGTGGGAAGAAGGAGGAAGGCAGGGAGGCAGGGAGGCAGGGAGGACCGGGACGGGAGCCTGGGTGTGCGTGACCTCGTCTCGTTTCGAATCGTGTCTATCTACTATCCTTGGGCACCCTCTCAGTGTTGGGCTGGTGGATAGCGTTGGATGATAGTGGATGGGTATGAACGCGGGTGGCTGGTCTCGGACTAGTGCGTCGTACGACAAGCGACAAGGACTCCCATGCTGGGCTCCCCTAGCCTTGGCTTGCGAACTTGGTGGCTTGCGATGAGTTGAATTGAACGGGAGCTGTGCGTGTGCGTATGGTGGAATGGATACCCACCGACGTCCGACGATATGTCCCACTCTCTGTGCCCATATAATCACCCGTGTTTTATCTACACCCGAACCCCAACTCAACACGCACACGCACTCCTGTTTACTGATATACTGATATACTGATACACTGACATCCAAGCACAAGCCAGAAGCACGCTGAACGTCGATACCGCTATCCTCGTCAACCCCTCTATACTATCCCAACCCACGTCGACTCCCTCCCCTCCATCTCCTACACTCACCAAACTACCAAACTATCAACGTTCCAGTACATCAGCCAACCTCCCCCCACCTCCCCTCCCTCACACTATCTCACCACCAACCATGTCCACGACCTCGGACTCATCCGCCGCGCCTACCCCGCCCATCCCCGCCCTCGCCCTCTTCTCCCTCCACGGGTCCGTCGCCCTCGTCACAGGCGCCGCCCGCGGCATCGGCCAGGCCGCAGCCATCGCACTCGCGGAGGCCAGCGCGGACGTCGTCTGTGTTTTGCGCCGCACCTCCTCGTCTGAGAGCACCGGCGAGCACACCGACGTCGACCATAGAGTCGTTCCTCCGTCTCGTCGTAAGGCGGAGGAAGGTACCAAGCCCGGTGCGGGAGTTGGTGGGAAAGTAGACGACTCGGAAGGTGCCATTAGAGAAGGAGGTGGAGAAGGAGGAGGAGAGGGAGAAGGAGGTGTGAAGGAGAAGGAAAAGACGCAAGACACGATCGCCGCGCTCGGCGTGCGGGCGTACGTCGTGTACGCCGACCTCGAGGATATGGCGGACGTGAAGACCGTGTGGCCGCGTGCGCTGGCCCTTCTTGGCCGTGAGCGCGACGGCGAGAGTGGGGAGGGTGGGGAGGGCGAGGGTGTGGAGGGCGCGGGAGGAGAGGATGGGGAGGGGGCACAGGGACAGGTATGTGCTTGATTGATTGCATATTGAGTATCGGGAGGGCTAATGAAGTTTTGGTGCTTTGTGTATCTGATCTGATATCTAACATAACCATAATGGACGCGAATGGACGATACTTGAATATCGAATATTGGCTCGACGCGATGCAATGCGTCGGGACTCACTCCGTCTTCTGTGTGTCTTCCCTTCACCTCGACCTCGACCTCTTCGTGTTCCTCGCACTCCTTTGACTCGGATGGTGACTTGGACCCGTCGGATACGCGTCTCCCTCTCCCTCCTCACTCCCTCCCACTGCCTCCCTCACCCACTCCACTCTCCCCCCGCTCACTCTTCCTCCCTTCCTCCCTTCCACTCCCTTCCACTCCCTTCCTCCCTCCTCTCCCCTCTCCTTCCTTCCTTCTCCTTCCTCCCCTTTCTCCCTCACTCTCCCTCCCTCCTCTCCCCTTCCTCCTCTCCCCTTCCTCCCCTTCCTCCTCTCCCCTTCCTCCCCTCCCCTCCCTCCACCCACTCACTCGTCAATCGTCACTCTTCATCGTCAATCGTCAATCATCAATCGACAATCATCAATCGTCGCTCGTCACTCCCCACTCACCCACCCAAATCGCTCCACATACCGGCGTGCGCACAGCCCCGCATCCACATCCTCGTCAACTGCGCCGGCGTGCAGCGGCGCCACCCGAGCGTCGCGTTCCCCGAGGCGGACTGGGATACCGTGCGTACATTCCTCTTCCTTTAACTCTACTCCCCTTTCTCCTTTAACTCTACTCCCCTTTCCTCACTTCCCCATCTTAATACCCATCCATGCCCATCCATATCCATACCCATCCATACCCATCTATATTCATACTCATCCACACACAAATCCAATTCCCAATCCATTTCTTTGCGTACAGGTCCTCGACGTGAACCTCAAGGCGTGCTTCCTCCTCGCGCAGGCCGCGGGGCGCCACTTCCTCTCCTTCGACGCGACCAGCGGGAGCGGCGGCGGCGGGTACGGAAGGGGGGGCAAGATCATCAATTTCTGCTCGCTGCTGAGCTACCAGGGCGGGTTTACGGTGCGTGTCTGTCTTTGCGCGCTTCGTTCGCGTTTCGTAATCGAATGTCTGTTGATGCGTTAATCTGTCAACGTGCTAATGCGTTAACGTGTCCATGTCCTAACGCATTTTATTAACGCGTCTTGCATTTTATTAACGCATTTTGCATTTTATCTCAACGCGTCTTGCATTTCGCATTCGCACACAGGTCCCCGCATACGCCGCGTCCAAGGGCGCGCTGATGCAGCTCACGAAGGCGCTCTCGAACGAGTGGGCACACGCGAACGTGCAGGTCAACGGCGTCAGCCCGGGGTATGTGCGCACGGATATGTGAGTGCGTTTGTCTGCTGTTGTGTTTTTTGTGTTTGGGTGTTTGGGGGGGGGGGGGGGGTTTGGTGTTTTTTTTGGGTGTTTTGGGGGGGGTTTTTTGGGGGGGGTTGGGGGTTTTTTTTGGGTATTTTTGGGTTTTTTGTTTTATTTCTTTATACTTTTCGCGGACACGGACGCGGGGACGGCGTGGCACGACACGGGGACGGCGTGGCTCGAGCCCACGCACACGGGGATCTACGCAAGACGCAAGACGGACGACTGCCCCCGCACCGCAAACTGGGTCGATGGGGCACTCGCAAACTGGGGTACACGATGCGATGCGACGATGCGATGCGCCGAAGCGACGATACGGGAATACGGGATACGGGACACGAGCATACGGGCACACGACATGGGAATACGGGCATATGGGGATGGGTACTACGACTCGCTGCACGGCGAACCAGCGAGCAATGGAGCTCTGGAGGGCGGAACGCTCTTTGTCTTTGTGGCTGTAGCTGCAGCTGTACCTGTAGGAGCGCAAAGTGCAAAGTGCAAAGTGCAACGTACGCGCGGACAGGCGGACACGCGGACTCGGACGCGCCAGATCGCGAGCGGATACGTGTGGGCATGTGGGTGCACGGGCTCATGGACATAAGGTTGCGAGTACGTGGGTGCACGGGTGCGGGTATGCGGGTGCACGGGTATGCGGGTGCAAAGAGACCACTCGTCGACCCGGGAACCTCATACAGTACAGCAGTCCGACGACATGGTAACCTGAGAGCACGGTAACAAGGTAACACAAGAGGACGAGCATGGTCAGAGGTAAGCAGTTCATACGCTCCCCGATCCCTTCCCTACTCACGACCTCGCTCCTATTCCCTATCCCATATCCCAATTCCCTATCCCATATACATATCCCATATTCTCTATTCCCCTATCCCCTATTCATCTATCCCCTATTTCATACGCACACCCATTCTGACTCTGACTATGACTTTGCGTTGCGCAGGAGAGTGGATAGGGCGAAAAGCGGTGGTCGATTGGGCGGTTGGGTGGTTGGGTGGTTGATATAATGGGTGGTAGGGCGGAGAAGTGGTCGCTCGCGCAGGATGGAGGGACACGAGGACATAGGTCATGAGTGGGGTGATATAAGCTCTGCATCTACGCACGAACGGGAACTCACCCTCACACTCAGCCGCCTTCGCCTTCGCGTCACACCCACACCCCCACACCAAACCGACACACCAAACCGCCAAACACCCGGTGTCGCGGTGGCGGGAGGTGCGTGGCCAAAGAAACGAAGACGAGGGCGAGCGCTCCCCTTTCACTTCTCCCTCTATTTACATTACATTCCTTCTTTTATACTCATTTAGTCCCCTCTTCCCCCATTTCCCTGACAATCCCCCGCACCCCCGCACCCGCATTCCCCCATTCCCTCCTCGCTCCCTCCTCGCGTCCCCCTTCTTTTCTTGTGGACGCTCTGATCGTTCAATGATTGAATTGAATTGAATTTCATTTTGGTTTTCGTCCCTTTTACTTCCCACTTCCCACTTCATCCTCGTACACGGTATGCTGTACTGCTGTAATGCATCCCCACACACCGCCCACCCACGCCTTTATATTATCTATATTATATCCCTCCTCGCGTCCTCCCACCCCCTCATGTATCCCGCAGCGCAAGCATTCCGACCATCCTACGGCGTTCTACGCGATATTCGATATGCATAATTGCACTCTATCCTATCCTACACCCTCGATCGCTTACACCCTCCTACCCCCGTTCGCATCTCCATCCACCTGCACGTTCGATCGTTTGCACCCTTTCTGGGTCACGAGTACGCGTATACGAGTATACGGTTACACGGTTACACGATTATACGATTGGTTGGACATACGTACACGATCGCGTTCGGGGACGCGTCATTTGCACCCCGTGTCGTCCCCCGTTCCCCCGTTCCCCCTTCGTGCTTTCGTGTTTTCGTGTCCTTGTCGCGTCGATTGCTCTGCGCGTCGTCGTTTCCTTCACGTTGGCCTACATACTCTTCGTCTCCTCCACGTTCGCGCTCGCGCTCGTCCTCTCCCTCCTCTGCCCATACCTCACTCGCCCTTCACCCGCACTTCACTGTCACTTCACTGGCATCCTCCCACCCTCCGTCATCGCCTTCCTGGCCTTCTTTCCTTCATCGCCCTTCTCCTTCTCCTTCCATCTACGCATACGCAATAGCAATGGCAATGGCAATAGCGACCCCGATCGCCCGATACACCCAATTCACCCACACCCAGTTCACCTTCCAACCCTCTAATTGAACCTTCCCATCAATCAACCTCCCCATCCAACCCCCATATTCCAAATTCAAAGAGACCGGTCCAGCCCCTTCCTCACCCATTAGGACGCTCGACTCTCGGTGCTCTCGATGCCCTCGCTGCCCACCAGCCTATCAGCGACACGCACACGCACACGCACGCGCGGCGTATCCTCGAAACCTCCCACCCTCCGTCATACCCCTTCTCCTCTGTCCTCTGTTCTTCCGCGACCTTCCATACGCCCGTGGTCCAGCGGTGCAGGCACCCACCTACGCAATGGCAATGGCAATGCGCCCCGATCGCCCGATATCCCCAAAACATACGAACGACAGGCATCATGCATCGACTATCTAGTATCTAGCTTCGCCACCACCCCCGATTTTGCGCGTTCCCACTCGATGCACGATGCACGATGTATGATGTAGGGTGTATGATGTAGGGTGTGCGTTTGCTCGGTTAATTACGATTGGGGGTCTGGATGCTGGATCGTCTGTGGGCTGTTGGGCCGCTGGGTTGGGATATGGGAGGCTGAGGCGTAGAGTTTCTACGACGTTCCATGGCATCATCCTATTCCTGTTCTGTTCCACCCCATTCCGTCTTCCCAACACTCTATCGGCACCAGCACGCGCGCGGAGGGATAGAGGGATCAATGGAAGCGAACGAAGGACGTCAATGGAAGCGGATGAAGGGCGAATGAAGCGTGCACGGATCGGCGGGGGAGCGTCCATCGATTTGCCTATCTGCCCAACGCATCTTGCGCTACCGTTAGCGCTACCGCCGTCGTCGATCGGTTCCTCCTGTGCGTTTTACTTCCCCCGTTCCGCAGATGCGCTGTACACTGACGCGTTATACGTTGTCTTATGTCTTGTGTCTTGTGTCTAGCGGGAAAGTGGTGGCTCACGGATACTGCACAGATTGATGGGATGGGCAGATGAACACGAATATCGAATATTGAGTGGCCGAATGGTCGGATGGTGAGATCTTGAGAAGCGGAGGTGGAGGCGTCATTGCACATCTGCGATCTCGGGGACTATCGCCCCCCTCACCCCCCTTGCGCTTCTGCGTCGCGCCGCACGCATACGCATACGCATTACGCCATCGCATCGGGGGGCGATCCTGCGATCCTAACCCTTGTTTCTCCCTTCTGCCTTCTGCCTCCGAACGCGGGTGTCGAGTGTCGAGTGGGAATACGAATACGGGGTGGGGAAATGGGCGGTTTCGTCATAGGTGCTCTGGATGCGGCGGAAGGGGCTTGATGTTGATGGGTCGTGTTTGTTGGTATGGGAGGTTGGTAGTTGGGTTTTAGCAGAGCTGGAAGGGAATAGGGATTGGTCGTAGAGGACGAGCGACATAAGGCGGGATAGAGGCGGGGCAAAGATGCACGATGCACGATTTACGATGCCGGGATACATATGAAGGCGCGACTCGAGGCGACGAAGCGACGACAACGTTCCATCACATTCCCAACACATTCCCGCCACATTCTCGTCAATTCGCCAATGCCACGCTTTTCTTCTTCCTCCTTCTCCCCGCTTCTTACCCTCTTCTTCGAGCTATCGTCACACGCCTCCTCCTTAGCACTGGTATGCTCACTTACACGCCTTGCGCACGGACACACGGACACGCGGATATGCATCTACGCTGATCATCCCACCAGTCCACATCAATCCCACCAATCCTGATTCCTCGAGGCGTCATCCATTCATTCTTCATTATTCGATCCTCATTAATCCTAGCGTGCTACTAGCGTGCCAGCGTGTCCGTCTGTTCGCACCGTTCGCGCTCCTCAAGGCTTCAACGCAGCTTGAAGGAGAATCAAGGAGAATTAGCCGGCCCCTCGTTCCCCTCGTTCCCTCATCTCCCCGATTGCCCGATTTCAGTGGTTTCAGCCTTTTCGATGCACTCAATTCTGATTCCGATTGCGATTTCGCAATTTCGCCGACAAATCGAGCTTTCTCCCAGCCTCAGCCACCGTCTCAGCCACACACGCGATACGTACGCGATCCCACCTGCGTTCCACCAATCCCACTCGTCCCAGCCCTCTTCGCATCAAGTAATCATGCATCGTGCAACACGCATCATGTCGTGGTAGTTTCGCGGTCGCGACGCTTCTTTCGCGTTCTATGCTTGGTGGTTCTATGTTCTATGCTCGACAATCTGCTTCCTTCCTTCCGTCGCGTTCCTTCGTTTGTTGGTTTCACACATTCATTTTTGTCCACGTTCTACGTGTTTCTACGTTCTGCGCCATTCCACCTGCCAGCTTTCCCATCCCCTTCCGCCTCCGCCTCCCACCCATCCCATGCCATCCGATTTTGGACCACCCCTACTTCCCCCTTGGACCCCTTTTCTGGCGCTATATGTGTTGGGTAATGGCCGGTACCGGTCGAGGCTTGGTCCTCTGGGTGTGCGATTCGGGGGCTCTGCGTCCAGAGTCCAGGCTGGGTGGTTTCGAGTCTGTTTCCTGTCTTCTCGACCCTGCCCTCGCACACTCGCAAGGTTTGGGTTTGGGTTTCGCCCGCAGAGTCACACACACCGCGAACTTAGAGGCCGCGAAACTATGCCCTCGCCCGGGAACGCAGAGAACGCGAAGCCGCAAAGGACCCTCGAAATTCTATGCGGATTCGAGGCGTTGCTATTTCGATATGCGATCTTGGTCTTGTTATGGGTGCGATCTGTGGTTCTGGTTCTGTGGACGATGGCTGATGGGCGATTGTTCTG